CTCCCCGCCGCGCGGGCGGGCGGCCGCGGGGGTGGCGCGGAGCCCTGTGGGGCGGGAGGGGGTCGGCGTCCGGCCGGACCCTTCAGGAACCGCAAATATCGAGGGTGTGGAGCCGAAACGCGGGCGAGCGGTCAGCGAGGATCCCCTGTAGCAGTTATTCTTAACCACCCGAGTCGTGTCCCAGCGAGCTGAGCTCCTCCAGGCAGTCTTGGTCTCTTGGTTGTATCCCAAGCGCGGATTAAACATGGCGTTACAAGCTGCACTGGTGTGCTTGTGAGTTAGGATGAGGGATTTCACAGCTCCGTAACTGCTGCCGTCACATATATAACATATCTGTAAATCTGGTGATTTAGAGCAGGAAGAACTTTAGCAACAGTGTTATCAAACATTTTATTCTGTTGATTTTTCAGTCACTTATGTGTTCTGTTAATACTTTTTTATTAGCAATATCTTCTACGGTAAGTGTGCAACTTGCACTCTACATTTATATGTATCCACCTCAAATTTCACAGTTTATGAAATAGTGGTCCGAATACCAACAGGTTTGGTCATGACAGGCCTTCCTCCGGTCTCCATCCCAGCCCTCACAGGTGTCTTTGCAGGTCTCCATCCCAGCCCTCACAGGTGTCTTTCCCTGCCCTCTGGTCTCCATCCCAGCCCTCACAGGTGTCTTTCCCTGCCCTCAGGTCTCCATCCCAGCCCTCACAGGTGTCTTTCCCTGCCCTCAGGTCTCCATCCCAGCCCTCACAGGTATCTTTGCCTGCCCTCAGGTCTCCATCCCAGCCCTCACAGGTGTCTTTCCCTGCCCTCAGGTTTCCATCCTAGCCCTCACAGGTATCTTTGACTGCCCTCAGGTTTCCATCCCAGCCCTCACAGGTATCTTTGACTGCCCTCAGGTTTCCATCCCAGCCCTCACTGGTGTTTCAGACTCCGATTGGAAGGTCTGTGGACCAGAAGGGCTTGGCCAGATTTCTCCACAGGTGGGCTGACGAGCACTTACCCAACAACATCTCAGAGTCCCAGGCAAGAATCTTGTAGAGCCAAATGACTAGTACAAGACCAACAAGCCCCCTACCTTTGGCCATATTACTGGACTTCCCTGTTGTTTGCATAATGATTAGGTTAGATGAGCACCTAAATTTAGTCAATCTAATTTTTTTTTTTTTTAAATCACAGTTTTGTTCTTTCTCAGGAGTAGATTTGTTCTTGATTGGTTGATGCAGTGATACTACAGGCCTTCCTTTCTTTGACAAAGAGCTAGCAAACAGGAGACTTGAGGGACAAGGCTCCTCACTTGAGTGAAAGCAAAGTGCAGTTGATCTCTCTAAATCCTTACAATTTGTCAGGAATTGCATCAGAACCCCTGCAGTTGTATAGCATGAAGAGAGAACTCCCTCTGACCTTTTTATATCCTGCTGCTGAACATTAATGGGGAAAATCAGGGCTATTATCTTAGTTTTAGTCAGAGTTGGAAGTGGTTGGAAATTAAAGCAAGCAAAAATACGACCTATGATGAGACAGTTCAGTAGGGACTGAAAAGTGTCATCCTGCAGGTTACATCTGTCCAGTCATGATTTGGATGGCCAACCTTAGATACTACAAAAATATTAGAGGAAAAAGGCTGTAACTAATTTTATGGTTTAATTTACAATTCTTAGAACTGCTCTGGTCATGCTACAAAATTAAGGCTGATTTGTTTGGTTTTTAGATCAACTAAACTGTTAATGAGTGCTGGCAGCAGTGAAGAAGATATAGACGACATTATTGATGAAATCTGTAATGACAGCAGCTTTGTGAAAACACCTCTGGTGAGTAGGAGTCTGGAGAAATGCAGAACGGGTGAGATTCAGCAATGGACAGAAAAACACCATAAACTAAAAGTGGTTTAAGCAAAATACGAACTCAAACAAGCTGTAGGATACGCTTGGAAGATAAAACAGAAATGAAAACAATCCTATAGTGAGGATGTCTCCAGGGATGGAGACTACAGCCTCCCTAAGTAACCTATTCCGGTGTTTGACCACCCCAGAAGAAGTTTTTTCATACATTTAACTGGAATTTCTTGTATTTCAATTTGTGCCCATTGCCTCTCCTCCTGTCAGTGAGTCCCTCTGAGAAGAGTCTGACTACATCTTTATTCTTCCCCATCATGTATTTTTATACATTGATAAGATTCTCCCGACCCTGGTCTTCTCCAGGCTAAACAATTACAGCTCTCTCAGCCTCTACCTGTTTGTCAGATGGTCTAAGTCCTTAATCACCATTATGCCCATGTCTCTTTTGTACTGGACACAGCACTCCAGACATGTCTATGAGACCATATCTGGACTACTCTGTCCAGTTCTGGGCTCTCCAGTACAAGAGGGAGATGGAGCTACTGGAGAGCCTCCAGCAAAAGGCCATGGAGATGATTAAGAGACTGGAGTATCTTTCATATGAGGAGAGGTTGAGAGAGCTGGGACTGTTCAGCCTGGAGAAGAGAAGGCTCCAGGGGGATCTTACCAATGTGTGTAAATGCCTGAGGAGCAGAGTAAAGAAGGGGCCACTACTCTTCTGTAGTGCCTAGTGACAGGACAAGAGGCAACGGGCACAGACAGAAACACACAAAATCCATCTGTACACAAGAAAACACTTCTTTGCTGCGAGTGTGGTCAAACACTGGGACAGGCTGCCCAGGGGTGTTGCAGAGTCTCTGTCTGTGGAGATTTTCAGAACCCAACTGGACAGAGTCTTGGGCAAGCTGCTGAAGCTGACCCTGCTTTGAGCAGGGGGGTTGGCCTAGATGATCTCAAAAGGTCCCTTCCAACCAAAATCATACTGGGATTCTGTCTCAACAGTTCTGAGTAGAGAGGAAGGATTATTTCCCTTGACCTGCTGGCAAGGTCCCTCCTAATGTAGCCAGGATGCTGTTGGCCTTCTGTGCTGCAAGGGCACGTTGCTGGCTCATGGTCAACTTGTCATCAACTGAATTTCCCACAGCCTTCCCTGCAAAGCTGGTCAGCCCTCAGTGTATCTGGTTATTCCTCCCCAGAGGCAGGAGTTCATATTTCCCCTTAGTTAAACTTCAAGAGATTCCTCTCAGCCCATCTTTTGCAGTTTATCGAGGTCCCTCTGAATGGCAGCATAGTCATCTGGCGTACCAACCCCTGCTCCCCGTTTTGTATCATCTGCAAATGACTTCTCCTGTTGCTGCCTTTTATTCTTCCATTGCTTTTTAAATAGAAATTGAAGTCCAACTCTTCAAATCTCACACCTGAAAGCAATAGTGCTGTTGTGCAGGCTGGTAGGAAAAGGTAAGTGAAAAATGTTTTGGCCAGTTGAACACAGCTTGATGATAGCGTGTTGTCAGCCTAATAATATTACTACTGTTTAATCCGTGTCGACATTAACTAAGAGGAAACTATTTAAAGAAGCATTCTTTTTAAAAAAAGACAAAGATAAACAGAAAGATAATTTTGAAGAATTACTAATGTGCTTTCATGTGGTCAAAAATATTTATTATAAATTTATTAATTTTTTAAGTTATTGAAAAACAGCTTCCTTTGCCTTACAGATGTATACATTTATCAGTGCTGCAATATATAGTCCGGTGTGTATTTGGTATAGAGAGTGGTTGTCATAGAGTTTTTCTTTGAACACCTTGCTAATGGAAATTTCAAAATTCTATAATTTGTAAACATTTGGATGCTTTGCCTGTATTTAATAAATATGACTTTAGAAATACCAAGCTGTTAAACTAGGAGAAGCATTGTACTGCTTTCTCCAAAATGTTTTGCTGTAATTTAATATTTTTGAATGAAATCCATATAGATGCTGTCCAGTGTACCTGGGTGGAAGCTCTTCACCATATGGCATAGGAACAAATATTTCAAAAAGGTAAGAAATATGAAATAAAATGTTCTACTTGCTTTATCATTATTTTTATTCTCAGCTGTGTTTCTGTGGTGCTACAGAGTTCTGTGTTTGAACTGGACAGGACAGCCCTACACTCATCTAAACCTGTGGCTGCCTGTAACCGCAGCTGAAGTCAGCTGGTTCCTTCCAGTCCCCTGCTGTTGACCACTAGATCTTTTGTTCATTTGAGGAGTTGAAAGATGTGTGCAAATGAGACATGAGACTCCAAAAATCAGTAACATGTAGTTAAGGAAATTGCTGCTCTAGAGTATTGTTATTTTTCCCTGCCTCTCTTCAGCTTTCTATGTGATGCCAAATATGTGACTTAAATCAGTGGGCTGGTTTAAATCATCCCAGGGTCTGAACTGAAAATAGCCAGAGTGCTTTGCAACTGCAGCTGAACTTAGTAGGAGAGGAACTTTAAAGATTTATCGCCAACATCCTATAGAACATTCTTGCATGTCCATGTAGGATTTTTTGTAGTAGGTAATTATGCACTTGATGCATATTTGGATGCTGGTTAGGTGCCACACCAGTAATGAAGACCAAAGAGAATATATCAAGAGAATATCAGTTTATTTAATGTGTTCAGTGAGGTTAGGAACCTGTAAAAGTAATACATGATCATACAGTTAAAACACATACCATGATGAATGTGCCAGAGATGTAAAAAAATTAAGATTACAGTGTAAGCTTGTTCGTGCTATTTCTGAGTGAGCACTGTACTTTAAAACAGTTCTGATCTGTGTAGGTTCTGTGATTATAACAACTCTTGGAGCTTTCTGTTCTTTTTCAATCAGAACATGTGATCAGCTACATTGTACTGCTTGTGACTTCCGTGTTTCACTTTTCAATGACTACATCTGGGATCAGTCCTGTGATTATCTTTTTTTCAGGTATGTCTGAGGTGGATTTGCTATTAGGATTATGTTACTGTGCTTTGGGGCTTGATAGAGAATGGGAAAGATTAAAAGTCCTGAGCACTCCTGTGTTACCTCAAATGGAGCATGAGTGCAACCTGTTCAGTGATCAGGTGGGAAAGTCTGCAGGGAGAGGGATGCAACATCTCCCATAATCTGTTTTCCTGCCTTTCCATTCTTCCCCCATCTCTGTCCTTCTCTGCTTAAAAAAAAAAAAAAATCAGGTTTCATGGATCAAAAGGCAACTTTACTGCTGAAATAAGCAGATAATCTGTGTGATGGGTTGGCCTCTGGCGTGCCATTGCAGGATGCCTACAAAATGAATGTAGACTGTTCAGCATGTACTTCTCACTATGCCTTCAGTCATGCAGACTGCGATTTTTTCAAGCCAGATTTTCTTTTTTCCAGTAAAAAGTGTTATCCTGTCATGTTCCATGACAATCAAATAGTTTGATTTCTTAACAGACTTCTTTTTGAAGCAAGGTTTGGTTAAATGGTGGGGTGGGATTTTTGTTTTTTCTTATATTGTGATGTCTTTGACTTTAAGTATTTCAAATTTTTTTTAAGATTAAAATTAAGGAATCCTTATTTCCAGTTTCTCTAAAACTGTATCCAATGCCAAGATTTAGTGAAGGATCCTTCACTGGGCATGTTCCTAATACAGGCGTCAAATTTGGATTCCTCTTATTTTAGTAAAGTCTCTGTCTGCGCCCGTTGACTGGTGGAGGTAGTGGCTGTGTTCAGAATATGTGCTTGACCACCAGAGGGTGTGACAGCTGGAGCAGAACAGTAGTGGATAAATCATCTCCTTTTCCAGTATTTTTCTTGTATTACATATTAGGTTTTTTCCTGTATTTTCCTTCCAGTTTCAAAAATCGTATTTCTTTCTGAATGCAGATCTTATTTTCCCATTATTTGAAGCAGAATTAAAAATACAGTGCTGCACTAGTCTCCTGAGATGAGTTTGGTAGCTGGAAAGGTTAAATAAAAAATATGATTCTTTTTTTTTAATCAAAGTCTAAATTATTCTGCTTCTGAGATCTTTAAATTAATAAATTTAAAAAAAAATTACATGAAAGGCATTAGTGCCAGATACTTGTAATGCTGATTAAAATCTGTGATCTTTAGCAAGAAATTTAGCTATTTATTTTGACTAACCTGAATTTTGAAAAGCAAATTTGAAGATTAAACATTTGCCTTCTATGAATAGGTGTCTGACCTCTTTTTCTAAAAATTATTTCTTTTATGTTTGTTTTGGGTTTTTATTGTTTGGCTGGGCTTGTTCATGTCGTTTTTGAGCAATTAAATGGCCAGTATTTGCTGGCCAGGAGGAGGTCATGAGAGCAAGAATACTTAAAATGCTAAATTTTCACTTGTTTTTTGAAACAAATTTTTTTTTGTAATAGCCATACTAATTTTTCATTTGTTGTGTTTGATGCTCGCACGGGAATTATTTGTGGTTTGATGTACATTCTTCCTTTTATGGCCATTTAATTTCAGTCATTTTAACTGAGTAATAGTTCCTGATGAAAAGTTTAACTCTGTAGTTGTACCCATTCTGCATAGGGATTTTTACAGTAAGTTTGATAAGATAAATAAATTTTTAGATAATTTCTTAACACAAGGATTAACTCTACCTGGCTTTCTTGACAACTCTTTCTCTGGAGGTTGGCACAGGGTCTCTAAACCAGACAGAGAACATTGCTTACAAAAACATCAATCTCCAGCTGATCTGAGAATACAGCAACCACGCACCAAGACTGCTCTGAGGAAAGGATTGCCTTCAAAACAGACTTTAAACATATCCCTAAGTTCATTCATGGCAGTGGTGCTCAGAAATGTTCTTGAGAGCTTTTCTGAATTTAAATGGCCTCACTGATCTTTTTTCTTTAAAAAAAAATGCATGATCCTAAACTGAATGCACTTGATTGACAGGAATAACATGCCTGAGCTCAGTAAACTAAGAGCGAAGATGATAAAGAAGAAAGGAGCACGAGCATATGCTTGTCAGTGCAGCTGGAGATCCATTGATGAGTTAACTGACCTCCAAACAGAGCAGCAGCTTCGGTGGGTTTGTGGTAGACATGCGGAATGAAGTCCTCTTGTGTGTGGTACCTGCTTGTGTGGAAGCAGGTCATAAACTTAATTTGTTTCCCACGCAATGGAGACCTGAAGACTTATATCTAGTAACAGATGATAACACCCAGACCTGAACCTGAAAACTTTTTCAATTCAGCTGTCTTGCAAGCAGTATGGAGAGTTGAAATATTAGAAGCAACAACCAATTTGGAGGTTTTATGGAAGCTAAATGAGGTTAAAGCTCATACTCAGCAGTATTAAAGGAAGAGGAAATGGACAGATGTAGGCATGGGGAAAAGCACCTTAAGACTGTTCCTCATATCTAGCAGAGAGCCTTATTTCCTATGTCTGCAAAATCTTGGACTCAAAATGGGCTGGGATACAGCCATGACACACAAACATATGAATTTCTGCACAGAAGTTAATATTGCTGTTCTGCTTTGCTTGTAGCTGTTAATGAGCAAGTGGTTGTAGATCTCTTAAAAATTACTGTGAGATCAACTCTCACCTTGAAGGTTTCAGCACATCCCAAAACTTTACTTTCTTTTACCCACCAGTAGCCAAAAACTGCAGGTGTTGGAAATTTCCTTCCAGTTCCTACTGCTTTCTTCAAAGCACTTTCTGCTGACTAAAGACTTTTACCACAGTGAATTTCTTGGATCTCCCTTCAGCCTTCAATGCAAAAACTGAACACGTTATTGTGCAATTATTAAATATTGTGCAGTTTTAAAGAGATTCTGAAGAATATGTGATTCTTCTACCAGTATTTTCAAGGGAAAAAAGGCTCAGGCTTTTAAGAGTGAGGAAATATACATCCCCACTGATGTTCAAATTTGTATTTTTTTTCAGTTTCACTTCATCTCCACTTCAAAGTACCACATATCCAGAGAGTGTAACTGTCCTGTTTCAACACACTCCCTTCCGCCAGGAACATTGTAAAACTACTTGCAGAATTGCTTTACGTGGTGAATTGTCTTGATTACGGTTAATGTCACTATAGTTCATGAACTCTTTTATTTTCATTAGGTATAAATAACACAGGAGATGGATTTGGGTTTTGGGTGGGCAGAGGGGAAGGAAAGGATTACCAGTCCTGGCAATTACTACCTTGAAAAGTGTCTCAAAATGGGAAATCTGTCAGTATTTTTGCTGTGCTATGTGATACTATAGAGATAAATTCAAAGTTACTTACTTTGTGCAATTCTATACAGAGCCATTTCTTTTTTTGTGACACTTTGCTCATGGCTCTACTCTGTATGTTGGCAATGTGTTCTTTTTCTGACCTCTTCCAAAACAATTGGCATGGTCTTTTGTATAGAGGTCATCTCTTGAATCTGTACCCCTCTGAAAGAGCAGATCCCAGTAGTGACCAGAGGCATAATGTACTCTGCATCCTGCTCACTCTCCCCCTCCATGAGTGTTTTTTAGAACGTGCAAAGGACCAGCAGTGTGCCCGGGAGGTCTGGCAGTGCTTAACATTTGCAATGCTTCAGTGCTCTACAGCGCGTGTTCCAGTGCCACGTGCAGCCTTGTTGGTAGGTTCTGAGGTGAGTTGGCTTTGGAGGGGTACTGCTTGACATAATGGTATAGACATATTTAGGGTCATGTCTTGTTTTCAGTGCAATTGATGTTTCAAGCTCAAGGTTCGACCCCTAGAGCTTAAAACTCTAGGAGACTAAGAGACCCAGAGACTAGTTGATTAATGCTCAATCAGCTACTGGAAGAGGTCCGCTTGCCTTTCTGTCCTTTGTGAAGAGAGAGCCTCTCTGTGGACTGTAAGCAGTAAGTGTTCCTGGGTTTTCCTCAGGTGGACCTGAGAAATTTCCATTCCCAGAGACTATTAGTGCTAATGGTAAGAGAAGAACCCAGCAGTAGTGTGTGATTTATTAACAAGCTCTAGAGAAGAATAAACCTACTTTCAAAAAGTGCAGAGTTGCCTTGGCTTGCCTGTTCCAAGGCCTTTTGAAACTGATGACCAGGTAGCCCCACAAGGATGGGTTTTTGGCCTAGATTTGCACTGGAACTTGTGCCACAATGTAGGGAACAAGTTAAGCTTCCAACTTGTGAGCAGGAAATGGAAAATCCTAACACCCATCTCAGTTCATGAGACCAAGTCTTATGTGACTTGGAAAAGGAGCCTCTCTCCTGTACCCTGTTTTAAACAAACCAACAGAAATAATCACCCCCTCTGGAATAGTTTGCACTACCCGGTGTGGTGAGCAAATCATGTGGAAACAAAGGTTCAAGACATCTGTTCTAGTCATTCTTATGACAAGAAGACAGCCTGCAGCGCTTGAAAAGTGGAGACTAGGAAGGAATTGAGACAAAAGGACTAAGAGTGTAGGAAAAGTAAAATGAATTGACACCAGTATCTATTGACAATATTAGCCAGCATTTCTCCTAGGTCACCTCATCCCTCAGTTTTGTTAGCCTAGAGAGTTGTAGAAAGAGTTATCTTTCTGGACAGATTGTTGTCAGGCAGTTGTATCACTAATGCCATTAAGACTGCACTCCAAGCACTGAAAATGTTAGAAGATAGTCTTAATTGATAGGTGTAAGTGGAAACCTGTGCATTCCCATGAAATCATCATGTTTATTCAAGTGTAGTTAGAATCCCAGAATCAGAATGATTTTTGTAGGAAAAGACCTTTAAGATCATCGAGCCCAACCATAAACTTAACACTGCCAAGTCCACCAGTAAACCATGTCCCTAAGCACCACATCTTCAGGGCTTTTAAATGCTTGCCAACCCTTTCAGTGAAGAAATTTTTCCTAATACCCAGTCTAAATTTTCCCTGGTGCAACTTGAGGCCTTTTCCTCTTGTCCTGTCACTTGTTACATGGGAGAAGAGACCAAGACCCACCTCGTTACAACCTCCTTTCTGGTAGCTGTAGAGAGCAATAAGGCCTCCCCTTACACAGTTCCTGGCTGTACTCTGTATTTTTCTGAGGAGGCTAAGTCTGAATTTACAGAGACAGGAAGGGAAGGTGAGTGGGAAAAAGAAAAAGTGGGTCTATGTGTGTTCTGGGCTGTACTATTCCACGCCAGTTGTTTAAATGAGCAGCTCCCAAGCAGATGTGGAGAATGGCTTCAGTAGGGGGGCTTCCAGACTGCAGGTCTAGAGGGAAAGCGACCCCACTCTGCAACCCAACACTCACCTCACATGGAGAGCTTCACCTGGTCAGTGCAGAGCAGGAAGACATTGATGTGGTCACAGGATACAACAACTCTTTGTCCAAGTGAAGTTTTAAGAAGGTGCAGAAGTAGTGCTTGCTGTATTGGTTTTCATTACAGAATTTAGCATATTTGTAGATCTGAGAATAGTTACTGTGTCATTAAATATAATTACTTTGTCGGATAGAAGAGTGGTATTAAGTGTTTGATTTCCATTCCTTTGCTTTCTTCAGTTACATGTTACAAACCACTCCAAAGTCCTCAAATGAGAAGAATGTAAAGAAAGGAAAAATTAGAGCTTGAATGTTCATTTGATGACAGTATTGTAAGATTGCACAAGGATTCCAAGATGTAGCCCAGACCCTCAGTGATGTTTCCGTGTCAGTTATCTGAGATAGCACGGATTATGTAAAGAATTTTGTTTAAGAATTCCATTCAGCTGTTGTCAAACAGAAGTACTGGAACACAGTTTTGCTAAGTATAAATGTGACCATTGTTTTCCTCCAGTTTTTTGCTTTGGAAGAAATAATACCGTTTCTGTTTGTGAAATGGGCAAGGTGAAAACTTGAGACTTTCTTTTTGCTTGGGTGATATGCTTGGAAATTTTCTGGCCTGCATTATTAATCTGTAGCACATCCCTCAACAAAGCAAAAGCAACAAAGGATGACAAAATGAGAATTCATGCAAAAGCCTTCACTTGGAAACGTGGTCAGTGGTTGGATGTCGTACCAACTTTTCTATGTCTGTGCTCCTGCAGTACTTCTGGATGGGAATCCAGTTCACACAGATGTACATAGTACATTTTGAGAGCTTCTTTTTATCAAATTTTAATGTGCTGTTCTAACTATATCTCACTTGTTTTACCTGCAAACTACGGAGGGTGTTCAACCCAGATACTGAATATAGCTCAGAAGAGTAATCATTAAGGATCTTGCCCTGCTGTAAAGTTTAACTTGCAGAAGCGTAATAGCATTGCATATTGCAAGCTCTGCACTGTGTAAAATTGAATAAAGGTTTTGTTTTTCTGAACACCATTTCAGTCTTGTACTGAAGGTGTTCTGCAACTGCTGGGCCCCGGAAGCTGCCACTCGTTGAAAGACTGCTCACTTCTCTAGTTTCCTGACATGTGAGTCTTTGGGTCATGTAACCAGCACATGTGGTAGTCACACAACAGGAGAGGGACTGTGTTGGGAGCTGCATAAGCCAAGTTTCCTTACTGCCAGGCTCTTTTTGCACAAGACCTGACCAGTTTTGTCTGTTGTGTGACACCCAATAGCTACAGGAAGGCCAACCTGGAAGGGATGGAGTAAAGCAGTCAGGTGCTGCTCGTTTGTGAGGGCCACATATGCTGCCTGGGACTCGGCATGCGTGCTTCGAGGAAAGTATTTTTCAGATACTTCAACACTTTAATAAAATGAAAAGTTGTAACAAATCTGATCTGTGTGTTGTGTAAATTCGGTTGTGTTGTTCCTGTCCAAGAGGAAGCATTATGAAATGCCCTTAATACAAAAACATTGTCCAGCTCATAAGGAACAGTAAGTACTGTTGTGTGTGTTTTCTCACATCAGTGGGGATGTAGCAAATACCTGAGAAGTAAATGAGATTTAACATTCTTTACCAGATAACATGAGGAGGGGACATAAAATTACTGAGAACTGATAAAGGTGGATGCATTTGTCACATTTCTTGGATGCTTCCCTATGGTAAAAGATGGAGCTAGTTGCTGGGGGAGGTGGCATATGGCTAAATTTCTTGCAGAGGGGGATGCTAGCACCTTTGTGTATCAGTCAGGGCAGGTTATCACTAGCATCGTACTGCTCACTTAAAGGTGGGAGATCAAT